TAGTAGAATTTGAAAGGTGAGAGTTAATTACACTATACTGGAGACTTCTGCTCAGACAGCTAACAGAAGAGTCACCACAAAAATCTGCCCTAAATGATTCAGTCTGTCATGACACAGGAGTTTAAAAGCCTAACTGAACTCTGGAACACCATTTACATTTCATTAGGAAAAAAGTGTCAGAAACATTCTCAGACTCATCTTGAAAACCTTAGAGAAGGAGCCTTGTTACAGTTTGCCATTCCAGTACGTTTACATTATGCAAATTATTTGCTTCCTTTAAATAGCCTTGTGATTGACTATAATAAAATCTCATTTACTAATATTCCGCATGTGAAGTATATTTTATATAAGAACCTAATGCAAAAGCATTACTGTTCCTGACACCTTCGGCGGGTCCTAATTACACTGCGGCAGAAGACCTTCAGCCCTCATTCTGAAAACAGTGTGAAAAGATGGTTTTCATCAGACACTTCTGGGAAGACATAAAAGAGCGACAGTAAAAATGAAGATGCAATTCTGAGAACTGGAAGGGGCCCGGAAGGTGTATCCTACCATCTATCTGCCTATGGCCTTTTCCATTTCAGGGAACTCTGGGTAGAGTTGGATCTCTTTTCCTGTGGCTTTCACTCCTTGGCCCCAGTTCTGGTCCTGGGAGACAGATCCAGATTCACATCCTAGTGCAGACTTCCCCAGCCGCAGCCCACTGCTCAGAAAAGCAGGGGTCAGTCAATTGCTATTTTAGCAGAAGTGGCCCCAGATCAGACCAGGGGTATGCAACCTGACTCAAGGCTGGGGGATGAGCCATGAGGCAGCTTTGTGCCAATGGTCTCTGTCCTAGAAGGTCAGCCAAGTCAACCAAATTGACTCTCTGGGATCTGGATTGGATGTCAGGAGTCAGAGGAGAACCCACTCAACATGCAAAGATACGCAGAAAGGCTAGAAAAGAGACCATGAGAGAGAAGACCCATTCCCTGAAGTTGCCTCCAACCCTGAAACTTCTCACTTCCCATATCCAGACAGGGATCGGTCCCTCCTCCCTAGGGTGCCCTGAGTGAGTCAGTCCTCTACAGCCCCAAGTGCCCAATACACAGGGACTAAAATTATGGCTCCTCATTTACCAGCCATCCTTACAGCTGTGTATCAGGTTGACAATATCTCCATTAACTTTTTGTAGATATTTTTGTTAGAACCAAGAGAAGGCTTTATTTTCACCTCACTAATATTTCACCTTTTTAGAATGAGTCCACCATTCCAACTTGCCAAAAACCTTTGACATCTCAATTCTGCCCTTCCAAAACATTTGCTTTGCTTTTCCCCTCCGTGTCATCTACAGAGTAGACAAGCAAGCCATTTAGAATGATGTTCATACTATGATACTACATGGAATTGGACACTATTAAACAATGGCATAAAAATAGTGGAGACAAAATTGTTAATGAACAAAAATGAATTGATTTTAGGGTCCAGGTCATGCCTCAAAATTAATAATTACCAATTCTACAAACTGACAGCAGATCAGCCTGCAGATTTAAATAGCTACCTAAACTGACGTGACCAATTTGTTTGCTGGATTAAAGTTTTAACATTTACTTGGTAGAGATTGCAAAACCCAGAAGAATTGCGTTTCAGTCTCATTAGAAAAAATTAGGCCATAGTTGGGATAATTAGCAACATGAACTTTGTGGTTAATTACCTGTGCAGCAGACCAAGAAGTTATGTTTGAGAAACATATTGCAAAAACAGAACTAAGTTCACTTCATCCTTTCCTGAGGCAATCAGGAAAATTAGCAGAATCTGTCATTTGCAGTCGTCTGGTATACCTCTGCCAAAGTAAAATTGTTCTCTGAGGATCTCAACTGCTTCATCTAACTTAGCTTTCAGTCAACCTTGTGGGATTTCTCCTTCGAGTTAAAAAAAAAAACCCACACTGAAGGGCTTTTTAATTTATTTTATCTGCTTTTCACAGTTTTTCTGTCTCCACCATGACTGTCAGGCTATCGAGCTGTAATTTCTCATGGTGGTCACTGTGCCTGCCCAGAGCAACCAAACCCATTCTCATGGCTCTAACTGGATATTTCTGGTCCTCCCGGGACTAACTTTGTATAAAGGAAGAACAGAAAGCTTCAGAGGGGGTGCCTGATGAGCCCGTCTTAGAGAAAGCATGTGAATGTACGTGTAGACTTCATGCCATCTCTGTTGACCACGCAGAGGCCTTCTGGCTTGCTCCTTTCTCTCTCAGCTGCGTTGAACTGTTAAACCGTTCACTGGACAATTACTGTTTAGGGCCACTTGGACCAGGTTCAGCCCTGGGAGCCACAAGAAACACAAAGGTGACTATGACATGGCAACTTCCGCTCAAAGACA